CATTACTATCTCACATTTATATATAGCTTGGAATATACTGGAAAAACTTGATGTCACATCTTTATAGAACTTTCTAGATGTTCTTTGCCCTCTTGCTAACAAATAACATTAAGTATATAGCTTACAACAAAATATTTTTTAAACTGTATGATTCACAGTTTGTATTTTACAGGTTCCTAACTTTCTGTTGTAGTCTTTGGTTTGTTACATATGTATGTATGTATATTTGATACAATGCCATTTTGTATTTTTAACAGAACTACTATTCAGTAGCTATTGTGAATGGAAAGTTGGAAACAAGACTAAATGCTGGGAAAGGTGAAACACTAATTCAGTCAATTAAACCAGTAAATGATGATAACTACCACACTGTCACCTTGCTAAAAACAAAACGTGTGTAAGTTCAAATATGGTTACTTGTGTATCAAAGCTGATCTGTTTTTATATCTCTATCTAGTTACCTAACTCTAACTTCAAAAAGTAGTTAAATCTCAGGTGAACCAGTCAATCCTCCCTTTTCTATAAATATTACTCTACAGTATCTTAAAAATATTTCAATGTATAAAATAAAAGTTACTTCTTAAAATGAATAAGCAGGTGATTATTAAACAACACATTTCTTGGAATATTTTGGGGTAGTTTTTCTTTTGATGGAAATTCATCTGGCAATAATTTAATTTAATTAAAAGTTTGAAGAAAAGTTAAATTAATAATAAAGGAATAGTTCTAGAGAGAGAGGTTTATTATGTTTCTTGTGACCTTGAGATTAGTTACTACAAGATTTTTTTTTTCTTATTAGGGGGCAAGGCTACTTACCTGCATAGAATTACGTTGAAGATTAAAACATCTTCCTTAAAACACGTATAGCACAGTAACAAAAGTAGAAAAATTGGCTAAAAATTGAAAATAAAAGGTTAATGTCAATCAGTTTTAATTAGTTTTGTTGAAAGTTATTAAAATATGTAATAATTTTTTATCTAGTTACATGGTAAAAAAATTCAGAATCAAATCATTGAAATTTGGAAAGTGGAAACAGTTTAAAACTTGTATCATTGTGTAAAATATATTTTTAGAGAAACTGAATTTATTAAATGAAAATAATAATGTGTAATTATGTGAAATTTGTTTTAATTATTAACTTGTGCACTCTTAGTGTCAAATTGAGACTTGATGATGAAAAGGCAGGAAGAGATGAGAGTGTTTCAATAAAAGGGTTAACAATTCATGCCCCACGAAAGGGAAATTTGTATTTTGGTGGAGTAAGAAGCAACATTACAGTGAGTCATATGACAGCTACTACCAAAAGTCTGACAGGAATTATTAAAGATCTTATTTTCAATAACAGGTATCAGTTTGCTTGGAAATTACTTGTAATCTTATAACACATTAATGTATTTGTAACAGCATATGACATATAAAGAATGTTAAAAATGTTACATGATTTTAATACTAACCACAGGCAATAATTATTCTAGAAATTGTGAAAAGTAATCTGTACACTATTTTTTGTACTTGCAAGATTTTTTATTGTATATACATTATTGTTCATAGTACCAGGAATACCCATCCCCAGCACTTAATTAATAACCCATCTTTAGTTAAATTGAGTGGAAATTCCAATATTTACAATGATACATATATATTATAATTTCATATACTAAATAATGTTTTAAGTCTATTGTAACAATAAATAGATTTCATTTTATTGTTCTTTTCGGTTTCTCTGTTGTTCTGTTTAATTGTTACAATACCATCAGTAGCATATAACCTTAAATGTCATAAAACTGTTAAAGAAATTTAAAAAACTAATAATTTACACTTTGGTACATGAACAGTTTTTACAGAGAACAAATCAAACAAAATAGTAGTTTACTAGGGAAAAAATTATAAACATTTCAAGTGATCAAACTATTGTGTCTTACAAAAAATTAGTACTTGTTAACATTATAGTTGTTGACACTGTTTTAGTGCAAAGCTACATAATGGGCTAGCTGCACTCCATAAACCACTCTGTACTCTTACCCACTGGGGGACATTTGTTAACAAAAAATAATTGGTTTTCAGCTTTATATGAAGGTAGTAACATTCATAGTCATGTACAATTTGTTCTTTTGTTTTTCTAGGTTGTATCCGTTTAATGATCATGTTCGATTTGTGGGAGTAGGAATTGGCCATAGTGAAGAAGAGAATGCAACTAGGCCTGTTACAGATTTTCCACTACTTTCTCAGGGAATGAAGCAATGTGCAGATATGGGGGAGTATTCTACTGAAAAGCGTGCTGCTAAATTTGGAAATGCTCTTGAAAGTTATATCCTTCTAAGATTAAAGAGAAGAGCATTCAGGAAAAAGTAAGTCAAGGGTATGAGTATGGTTTATGTAGAATCACTTGTACAACTTTGTCATTTAAAGAATGCTTCAAGTTTAAACAGCTTTTTGACAAATTAAAGGACCAGTTAATATTGTAATTACCTAGTTTGGATCTGGCACTTGTTATTATAATACACAAGTCTGCCTAAATTAATTTCTAATGGTAGAAAATAAGGTTTGGTACTTAATTTTTTAATGGTGAATGAAGAAGTGGCATTTTTGGAAAAGCATTGTGACTGAAATAGCATTAGTGACATTTATAAATAGAAATAAGTCAAGTGAGAGGATGTTAATAACTTGTATATAACTAATAAAATAATGCAAGTCAATGTGAGCTATATTAAAGCAACATAACAATGAATGTGTTTTAGTCATACAGTATGACTGGGCTGTATACAAACAATAAAGCAAATAACAGGTCTCAGCCATGCATTATGACTGGTATGAGTGAGCTGTATAAAAACAAAGAACAGGTCTCAGTTATACAGTATGACTGGTATGAGTAAGTTGTATAAAAACAATAAAACAATGAAGATATGTTAGCAATACAGTATGACTGGTATGAGTAAGTTGTATAAAAACAATGAAAAGATGTTAGCCATACAGTATGACTGGTATGAGTAAGTTGTATAAAAACAATGAAAAGATGTTAGCCATACAGTATGACTGGTATAAGTAAGTTGTATAAAAACAATGAAGAGATGTTAGCCATACAGTATGACTGGTATGAGTGAGCTGTAAAAAACAATAAAGCAAGGAACAGGTCTCAGCCATGCATTATGACTGGTATGAGTGAGTCGTATACAAACAATAAAACAAAGAACAGGTCTCAGCCATGCATTATGACTGGTGTGAGTGAGTTGTATACAAACAATAAAACAAAGAACAGGTCTCAGCCATGCATTATGACTGGTGTGAGTGAGTTGTATACAAACAATAAAGCAAAGAACAGGTCTCAGCCATGCATTATGACTGGTGTGAGTGAGTTGTATACAAACAATAAAGCAAAGAACAGGTCTCACCCATGCATATGACTGGTTTGAGTGAGTCGTATACAAACAATAAAGCAAAGAACAGGTCTTAGCCATGCATTATGACTGGTATGAGTGAGTCGTATACAAACAATAAAGCAAAGAACAGGTCTCAGCCATGCATTATGACTGGTGTGAGTGAGTTGTATACAAACAATAAAGCAAAGAACAGGTCTCAGCCATGCATTATGACTGGTGTGAGTGAGTTGTATACAAACAATAAAGCAAAGAACAGGTCGTACGTTGTATTTGCAATTACATTGTTACTAATATTGTTGATGTCATGTTATTTGAATCTTCGGTATTTTTCTCTTTACGTTAAGTGAGTATTTTTACATTATAGCGTCACTCGCTATATGTTTTCACACACACACACACACACACACCCTGTGTGTGTTTATCAGCAAGATTTCTCAAAAACGACTGAATGGATTTAGATGAAAGTTGGTATACATGTGGACTATGACCTAACTTAGAAGTGATTAGTTTTTGGTAAGGTCATAGCAAGGTCACGTAAATTAAAAAAATCCCTATCCGTCACATGGGGGACTAATTTTTCACACTATTTTTGCTCTATAACTCAGTCAAAAATAATCAGATTTTGATGAAACTTGGACATGTGTAAACTATAATTTCTCATTGTTCTGCCAAAGATGGTTCATGTCCATTTATAATGACAGACATACGGACATATTTTCGTATATTTTGAGAGCCAACTATGATGAACACTGCATGGTGGAGGTGTGCACTCTACTGGGTACCTCCCTAATTTTATATTTGTGACTGCTGTAACATTATGTTTAATGAACTAACCAAAAATAGTGACTGAAATCATTCATTTTTAATGTATACAATCGTAATAATCCCCAGTAGTGGTTAATTACAGTATTTAATGCTTTATTTTAACATTTTTTTGTGTGACTTGTATATTAGTCCCTTTTTCCAACAAAGCCATGGACCCATGTGTTAAAAAGCTGGGGGGTAATATTGGATCTGATTGTTACTTGAGAGTTAATCAGCATGATTAGGATTACTTTAAATAATATTAAGAAAGAAAAAAGGACAAAGTAGAGATGTTTAATAATGGGAACAATAGTGATGTGCATAAAAGCAATAAAACAGAATAGGGATGATAGTGGATGTGATTAATATGATATTTATAGGGATCGCAGTTGATGTGATTAATATGATATTTATAGGGATGGCAGTGGATATGATTAATATGATATTAGTGAGTTTTACATAATCAGAAAAATCTGTATTAAAAATAAAGTAAAAAAATAGATGTGTTATCATTGGTATGACTAAGGTATCATGTACTTTAGTTTTTCATGGTACTTAATCTGCTGCTTTGTTGGGAAAAGGACCATCTTCATTGGGCACTAGTTTGTTTGGTTTTTCTAATGTGTGTCACTATCATTTAATGCTCTCATGCATAAATGAACTTGTTTTTTAAAAGTAGTATTTTTATTTGTATGTGAACATTATATTTCTCAAAAGAGTAATTTATTTGTTGATAAACTTTCCAATTCTTTATTAATGTGAAGTAAGATTTTAATATTTATTTATCAGTGAATTGGGTTCAAAGACAACAGGGAAAGAAAATATGGTAACAAAAAAGTGAAAAATACTTAAGTTAGCAAAAAGTATGTGTATTAATTTATCTTTGATGCAAGGAAATATTTCATACAACTTCTAAACTCAAAATGAATGCATTGTTGTTACACTTTCTTTGTTTTCAGTATATTTGAATAACTACATTATTCATACTTTGATCATCATTGCAACTACCAATAAAAATATCTTATCTTTATTTTGTGCATTTTATTTGTTTCCTAGCTTTAAAATTGAATTTGGCTTTCGTACATACCACTCTAATGGCCTCTTAATGTATGTACACAATGGTCGAAAGAAACATTCCCACTTTGCTGTCCTACTTCGTGAAGGAGCTGTTGTAGTACTTGTATCTGACAAGAAAAACTGGGAACTCGGTAGTCATGGAAACTTGGATGATGGGCAGTGGCACAGTGTAAGAAGTTTTCTTAAAGAGTTGGAACTATATGAAAAGAATAGATATGCTTAAGGATACATGATAAATAAATGAGGAAAGATAGTACTGAAACTTTTACTGTCTTCTACAGTTACCTTATTAGAGTTTGTTGATATTGCCATGTATATGCTAGCATATAGCCTGTCTAAAATCTTGGGGTTAAGTACTACCACCCCCACCCCATAGTATACCCTAACCTTATATTTCATAGCTAACTGAAATACATAAATTTTGCAAAATCAAGCTCGACCAACAAAAAGGCAGAAAAGTGCAGTCGACACAGTTAAACATCAGTAAGTTCCTTTGTGAACCAATCAAAATTAAGATCATTCATGAAATGAATTTGTGGTGTATTTATAGAATAATTATTGATAAAAATCAGTTAGATTAATAACTTCTAATATATAGAAAAGCCAGTGCATTTTGGTAACACTACATTCCAACAATGGCTTTCATGTCATGTTGTTTAGCAACAAATGTATAACCTAATATTGTTATTAATCTATGTACTGAAAGTATTAAATGAAATGTATGGGCAACAAAAATGGAAAAATATTTGTTGATTTCTTAATTATTCTCCACTGGCTAATGAGGTTTATTTTTTTTTAAATGTTGGTGATGTAACAAAAAATAGCTTAAATCAGAAACAATTTAAGTTTGAAATTGAATCGATATTTTTACTTTCATGATAAATTTTATGCACTTGGCTCTAGGCTAGATGATCCCACACTGTCTTTATTTTAGGCTTATTATACCAACACTCACTACACTTGTATGGTTTCATGGCACCCATTCACCCCCATCACTAAAATCATAATGGGCAGACAGTAATCAAATGTTTGTTTTCACTAAGACTTTATCTCTTATCTGTTATTTTCTCTACCCTAACTATATACAAGGTTGCCTGGATCAACATCACATATTTTTCACTATACATAGAATTGAATCCAGAATAAGTTGTGGTAATTTTAGGAACAAAATCTTTTGACAGAGGAAAACTCATCAACTATAGTTGGAATGGTACTGTTGAGCTCTACATGGCTCTTAATTTCTTGGTCTGTGTTAGAGTACACTTTATGCTCTCTTTAAGAAGTAGATCATACCAGTAAAGTACATGTGCGTATGAATGTGTAAAATTAAATGTAGTTGTTTTTAATATAAAAGCAGTTTTATTGTAAAATATTCAAGTATTTTATTTCTTTTCTTTGTGTTTGTTTTTAATATTATAGAAATTTTTGTGTTTATATTTCCAGAGATTTAGTAACCTCTCTGATTTCATGTTTTTATACATCGACCTTGGAATTATCACAACCTTGGCCATTGTTAGTAAGTTATCTACAAATTCTAATTCATAATAATTAATGCAAGAATATTGTTGGCAAAGTATAACATGTAGAGTCTCTTTTGAATTCACACCTGTAAGCTGTTATCAAGTATTAATTACAATTGTAAAGAAAATGATTCATAAATATCTTCAGTTATTATTAATTTTTATTAAATTATAAATTATTTCAGTTTATTTTACTAGTTTAAATATTTTTTTCTTTGTCCATTCAGTGAGCTACACAGCGGCCTATGAAAAGCTAGTGGCTAAGCGACCTCAGGGAAGTATGGTCAGCTTGTCTAACATTATCTCGTTGGTGTTACAGATATTACTTGTTGGGGGAATTCAGCTGGCAGCTCTTATGCTGCTGGAATATCAACATTGGTAAGTCTTATATGAGGGTAAAAAATCGTACTGGTGCAGAGAATTCATAAAGACAGAAGGCTAACACTTATTACTTTAGTAATAAACAAGTTGCACTGTTCTCTATATTTGATCTCAGTTTGAGTCAGTCAGTTACTAACTTTCCTTTATTCTTAGCTGATGTTTATTAGCCCTGGAAAATATTTTAGAATGTTCTTTATGAACTCTCAATATGAGGTTGGTTAATATATATACGTAATCACTTTGTACTCGTTATAGTTTCCATACTATAACTTTTAATACACAGTACGTGTATCTTCACAAAATATGGCAGACTTTTAGGAAATGTGTCAGGACATTTATGTAATATATATAATTAAATGTAAGAGGAGGGGTCTGATTTTCTATTTGAAAGCTCTTTAACCAAACAAAATTGAAGACAATAAAAATTAAGGTTTGTGTGAGCAATAACAATTTTATAAAGTAATTTACATTTAATTTTGTACTTTTTCGAGTGGTGATGTATAAAATAGGGAAGAAGACATGCTAAGAGGAAATGTATCACGTGGGTTACACTAGGGGGAAATTCAGAATTTTTTTTAAATATTGCCTTGTAGAATTAAGAACTTGAAACTTGTATACTATTAAAATATGGATTATTAACTGAGATTTTATGCTATACTTATTGGTAGTTTAATAAAATTTTGAATGTAAGACATTAAAACCTTGTATCATGTGCAGTAAAGGGTACCTGTGCTGATTACAGGGATGGAAGGGTTATTATATAGTGACTCTAAGTTAAGAAATCAAAAAACATTTTCCAATTAGGTTATTCCATCTTCTCACAAGATTAGTTATTCCCGTTCAGTGCTACCTTCTATATACAGAGCTTTATGCTTCCCCCTATTGGAATCTAGTGATTCCAACATGTCTCTCATGCAAATTCTCATGTGTCACTTCTCCAGCAGTGGAGTGCAACAAGTTCACATGATGCATGTGACTCCCTCTATACTCCTCCTCCAAACTATCACTTCTTGTTTCACAGCACTTGTACTCGGACATTTGTTTGACATTCTTTACCGTTTCATGTTCATATTTAATATACTCACAAAGTGGTCTTCATTTGATTATAACCTCCAGTCGCATTCCGAAACTAATCTTACCACTTTGGGGGTCACGCCTACGACTAGCGCTATCTCACAGGCTGCAGGTGAGGGCGACCCAGTGTGGGTTTTTATCAGTGTTTATCCTCTGGGAAATTGAACATTAAAATGGTCACCCTCTTTCTTTGGTTCTCGCCCACAGTGTTTCCTATAGAAGCCGATCCTGTTCAGATGGACGGAGATCTTGATAGCCTTTTTCCTTCACCAGATTTCAATTGTTTGGTTCTTCATTTCTGTTATGTAGTCTCTGTTCCCAATACAGAGATTCTTTGTTCTTTTTGCACATTTATAATGGCTTTCATTCACTTTACTCTGCAGATAGTTTCCACATTATTTCATCAGGAGTTTTATTCTCTAATGTCCGGACTTTCGTCAGACCTAACCTCATGGTCCACCATTTGCCATACAGTCTGGAGACTTGAGAAAGATAAGACATTTTGCAGTTTTATTGTTAATATTATTATCTGTAATTATTTGAATTTCATAACATATGCTTATTTAGATTAGTTAATACTAAATTATGTTACAATTCATAATTAGTCTTCGTTGTTTTTCTTCTATACCAATCGATTAGGCTTAACATGTTATGTCCTTCAATAGTTTAACTATGTTATTTCTTTACTTTTATATCATAATTTCTATTTCATTTTGTTAATAATCTTTTTCTTCACTTGGTTTTGGTGGAACCCTTGAATCGGGACCCACATGACTTGCACCAGTATTGTGCCTATTTATTGTGCCTTTTCATTCTTAGGTTATCCTTTGTTCTGTACTCTTTGATTTGGTTTCACTAGTTTTCTTCTTTTTTCGATTTCACTGTTTTAGTTTAGATTTTGTTATTTCTGTTCACTATCTTGTTTGATTTGACTTCATTACTATATTATTAGGTTATCTTTGATAGGTTGTTTGGAGGAGAGACTTCCTGTAGCCTCAACCAATGGTAGACACAGTTTACTCACCACTTTCTCCAATCTTAGCAGACATTTTCATGGAAGACTTTGAAGAAAGAGCCCTCTCATCCACACATTTATACCAAGTTTCTAAAGATGTTATGTTGACGACACTTTCATTATCTGGCTCCATGGTTGTGAAAACCTAACAGCCTTCTTACAACACTTTAATTCCGTAGACAAGAATATTCACTTCACCATGGAAATAGAGGAACAAAATAGCTTATCATTTCTTGTCATACTGAGCAGCAGACAAGAGGAAAAATCACCACAACTGTATACAGAAAACCCATCCACACGAACAGATATCTACACTTCCAGTCCTATCATCCAAACTCGATAAAATGTGGTATAATCCAGTGCCTAAACAAGAGAGCAGAAAACATTTGCAATAACACATTCATCGAAACATCATACAGTGTTTTAAACAGAATGGTTATACCTTTTCCTTCATCAAGAACTCCCTGAAGAAGACCACAACAGAAAAGTAAAGAAACCACTACAACCATATACCTCCCATACCTGGAAAATGTCAGTGAAAGACTCAAACAAAAAGCTAAGAAATTCAACATAGACGTCCGGTGGAAATCTTACAAAACAGAAAGATCATTCTGGTGAAGAACAAACAGAAACCTTCCAACAAAAAACAGAAAAAGTCATTTATGAAATTCTGTGTTTCTGCAACAAAACATGTATTGGAAAAATGGGAAGAAGACTCATGACAAGAATAAAGGAACATAAAGACAGCACAAGACTCATGAAAACACAAAATTCAGACATTGCAGAACACGCATGTCAATTGGACACAACATAAACTGGAAAAAAGCTACAATCATTGACACAGACAAATTTTGGAAGACAAGAAAAATTAAAGAATCGTTTTACATTAACTCAATAAAACCTTCACTAAACAGAGATTTAGGATTAGAGGTGAGTAAACTGTGGCTACCATTGGTTGAATCTACAGGAAGTCTCTCCTAGAATCAGAAATGTGTTTTAACCAACCAATCATAATGCGCTCTCCACAATCCACTGGACCAAACTACACCACACACACACACACACACTGACCTGAAGATAAAAGGCAGAAGACTTTCGAAACGTCGTCCTCTACAGTTGTAGGTTTCTACAACAGGCAGTTGCTGTCCATTTGAAACTTAGATTCATTATTGGTTTACCTGTGTTTTATTGACAGGTTAATATCTACTTACGTTCCCGTTTTTCTTCACCACTACAACATACAGGATTCATTCCCTACACAGTTTTCTTCCCATTTTAATATGTTGACTATTTCATCTTGTTTTTCTTTATATTTTCTCTTTTTACAGTTTTTTTTGTTTCATCTCTACTTTATAATTATTACCATTCATTTCATTTAGTTTATAATTTATCTTTCTTACCATTAGTTAATTTATTGGTTTCCCATAGTTTTATGGACAGGTTCATATCTACCACGGTTCCAGATTTTTCTTCAACTCGACATCATAACGGATGCATTCCCTACACCATTTTCACTACGCTGACTATTTCTGTTTTTTTATAGTTTATACTTTGTACAGTTACTTTCGTTTAATCTCTGCTTTATACTTCTTACCATTAATTTTGTTTTGTTTATAATTTATCTTTCTTACCAGTAATTTAAATCCATGTGTTGGCCACTGGGAGCCGGGGTATGCCGTATCTCCTTCCACCATTTCTCACCTTCACCATTTAACAGCTGAACCCATTTTCCAATGTCCTAAAATTGTCAGTTCTCCCTGACCTTATCATGGAATGCCTACCATTGCAGTATCTGCTAGACTTACCTTACATATTTTCAGACACATTTTGCAGAATATTATTTTCATGTTTTCTGTGCTGTTCCATTTGTCTCTTTTGAGTTTGGATACTTACAAGCCTTACTTTCTATGGGCTTTTAATTTTACATTAGTTTAACTTCAGGCAGATTTCTTCTGACATTTGTCATTCTTTTTCCCCTATTGTCGCTCATACCTTTATAGTTTCATGATTCCCTTTATTCAGTGTTCTCTTTACATTTCATGTTTATCAAGGGATACCTCCTCTTTCTTCCCTCCATGTTGGAATTTTTGCCATCTTCAGTCCATTCCCTCCTCACGTGGCTTCTTTGCTTTTGGGTTAGTATTGGGTGTTACACTGCTGTTTATTTTCCTTTCCATTATCAATAGTGTTGTACAATCTGTTCCTTTTCTTCTCTTGTCCCTTTTTTTTGGCCATTGCTCCTGTGTGTTTTCAATCCCATCAGTCTTGGGTTATCAGGCAACCTTGTTCCATACCTTCGTTTTTTCCCCCATACCGTGTAGTTTTTACCTCACCTATCCTTACTATGTTTATACGTTCCTTCTGGATTTGTCGTCCACCCTGACTGCCTACCATTCTTACCTGTGATCTTTTATTTCCTCACTTTACCTTTGTTTGCATCACTTTCTTTGTGTTCCATGTCTCACCATCCCTTCAGACATAATTCCTTCTCCTCTATGCCTGTGTACGTAGGAGGTCAATTTGTTTCTCATTATCTTTCTTGTACATTTTTCCCACTCCTTCTCTTCTCCTTTATCTGGATCTTTCCTTCCTAACCAAGACATTGATGGCTAGGGGAGGTAACTTCTCCTTTTACCTAATTCCCTTCCGTTCATTTCCAATCTTTATCCTTGTCCTGATCCAGATCGACTCCTATGTACAGTCTGTGCTCTTCATTGTTCTATTATCCATATGGATTCTTTCCGTGGTGCCTGCCTCTTTGGCTTTTGATCTCATTTGCTTACTCCTCTTTATTGTCTTCTTCCAAGACTATGTTCCAGGAGCCTTCTCATCAGATTCAACATCCTTACCTTTTCCCTGGCATCTCATCTTTGTCAGTCATTGGGAAAACTTCTACATTTGAGCATGA